TCAGTGTCAGCACCCAGAAAAGGTTTTGGAGGGTGCTACACTCGGGACGGGGAGAGACCCTGTGTTCTCAGTGTCAGCACTCAGCAAAGGCTTTGGAGGGTGCTACACTCAGGATGGGGAGAGCCCCTGTGTTCTTCCGTACAGTTACAACTTCTACAACTCCCTCCCTTATACACGTGTTTCAGAACGACAGGCTTTCTCAGGCCTTTCCTAGCTTCTGAATCACACAGTGCCAGACTGCAGAATGATCTCAGGCCACTGAGCCGAACACATCTGTGCTTTTCAGTGGGACAGAATGGCAGGGCCTCTGTCTGGAGTTTCATACTATTAGCTCATGAAAAGGAAAAAGGATTACAGGCGCCATTCTCTATGGAAATGCTCTTCTTCTGGGAATCATGACGTATTTTAAAGTTTGAGTTGAAATCTGTTTATGTAATGGACGGATGGGCATCTCTAAACACAAGAAGAATCTTTATTGCCTCAGTCACCTGTCTTCTAGCAAGTTGAGAAAAAAGGCCTCCAATCTGGAATGGAGGCAACATAGCTCGGTGCTCAGCAGGCCCAACAGGATAATCCCATTTGGCTTAGACCATGAGATTACAGAGTATTAGCTAAACTGCTAGTCGCCTGCCTTTTTGTGGTGCTCGTTTTTTGTGCATGCTGGGAAATTATTTTATCCCTGTGTGACATGCCCAGCCTAAACTATACTTTTTAATTCCAAATCTTAAGACTTTTTACATTTTAAAAGACTTACTAATTTAGCTGAAGTCAGGTGGCAAATATCCTTAATACCTTTAATTCCAGCACTCAAGGTGTGTGCTGGGCATGTTAGTCTCAGTACTGGGGGAGGGGGGCAGAGGCAGGCAGACCTTTGAGTTTGAGGCCAGCCTGGTTCACATAGTGTTCCAGGGCAAACCTTGTCTTTTGTGGCTTTTTTGTTTTGCCTGGGAGATGTGGTATGCTCCTATGGTCCTCACTGTGCGGGAAGTTGAGGAGAAAAGGTCATTGAGCCCATAGATTTGCTCCCCCAGTGGATTGCTGTGCTCTGACCCACGCCCCACAGCATAGTGTAGTCATTTTGTCCCATGCCTGCCACCAGCTATTTCATATTGTTACTGTAACATGCCTGCCAGTCACTGCCACAGAGAAGTGACTTGGCTCAGAGCAGGGTCATGCTGACCACATGTTATGTTCTGTATGAGGGTTATTAATCTTAAGAAATCCCACAAGGCTTTACGTAGGACTCATCAAGTTAAAGGTCAATATGAATTGTTATGTCTAAAATGGCTTCAGTCAGAGCTGACCACTGGACAACACTTCCTGCTCCTGCATTTGAGCTCATTATGGGTTTCTGGTTTATAAGCTGACAGAAAAGATGTCTGTTGTCATAGTTCAGACAATTCTGAGCTGTGTCTCGAGTCTGACTGGTATTAAGGTGTACAGTCAAACTATTCTTGCTTGCCGGGCAGTGGTGGCGCACGCCTTTAATCCCAGTACTTGGGAGGCAGAGGCAGGCGGATTTCTGAGTTTGAGTTCGAGGCTAGCCTGGTCTACAGAGTGAGTTCCAGGACAGCCAGGGCTACACACAGAGAAACTCTGTCTCGAAAAAAAACAAAACCAAACCAAACCAAACCAAATCAAACCAAACCAAAACAAAAAACAAAACAAACTGTTCTTGCTTAACTGAGATTGGTGATCCTATGGTTTGTGTGGCGACTCTGAACCCTAACACGATCGGAAGGAAGGAAACTGGAGTTGTGACCAAACCAGCTGACCGAATCACGAGTCCCAGTCATTAGTCAGACCAGGAAAAGGGGTGTCAGTCTGACAGCCCCATGTGGTATACAGACATAGATGCAGGCAAAACACCCATACATACGAAAACAAGGACAGCGACATTAATATAAGATAAACACGTTTGCCCTTTGTTAAGGGATGGTAATCTTTTTGCGCAGTTGGACCATCTCTTAACTTTGTTTAGGTCTGTTTTATGTATTGAAATCTTCATTAAAGCTAGATATATAGATTTTTTTTTTAATAGATCTGGTTATCCCAAAGAACTCTTTCCTGGTAAGGTAAGAAATTAAATATTCACCTGTACTTTCTATATTTTCCTTTGAGACAAAGTCTGACTATATTGCCCAAACTTCTCTTTTGTAGACCAGGCTGGCCTTGACCTTTTTTTTTTCTTTTTTTTTAAATTAATTTATTTATTTTATGCATATGAGTGCACTGTAGCTGTCTTCAGACACACCAGAAGAGGGCATCGGATCCCATTACAGATGGTTGTGAGCCACCATGTGGGTGCTGGGAATTGAACTCAGGACCTCAGGAAGAGCAGTCAGAGATCTTAACCGCTGAACCATCTCTCCAGCCCTGGCCTTGATCTTTTAATTCTTTTACCTCACATCTGGAATACAGGAATTACAAGTGTTACCTACTAGGCCTACTCAAGATTTCTGTATTTTGAACAGGAAAGCATCACCTGAATACTGAAGGCTACTTAATGGCAGAGTTTAGCGGCAGTGGTTAGCTCCTCGAACCGAAGAGCAGACATGTTCTACTGCTCTGACGCCGCATTCGGAACTGAGGCAAGCCGATCTCGACTTTCCAGCTAACTCTGGCTCATGGTGAGTTCCAGGGCAGCTTGGACTACATAAAAAGACTCTGGGGGGGCTGGAGAGATGGCTCCGAGGTTAGGAACACTGAGTGCCGAGTTCGCACGGTGCACCCCTCCCCCTCCCCCTCCGGCCCCGCCCCCTTGTTCAGCTCTATAAATCAGATATGACAGCATATGTGGTACCTACTGTCCCAGCATGCAGGGAGGTACAGACAGGGGGGTAAGGTGTTAAAGGTAATCCTTGGCTATGCAACACAGGTCATTCTGAGCTCAGTGAGATGTTTCTTAAATGAATAAAAAAATAGTAATGTAAAAAAGCAGATTAACAGTTACAGTTTTTAAAATTTTGCAGTCGAGTCCCCCCAACCTCCCTCCTTTTTTTTTTCCCCCAGGATCTCACTGTGCATCTCGGGCTGTCCTGGAACTCACTCTGTAGACCTGGCTAGCCTCACCTGCCTCAGCCTCCTGAGATTAGAGGTGTGGCCGCCATGCGTGGCTGAGCAGCTGGGAATCCTGACTATCCTTTAAGTATCTATGAGCCTAATTAATGAGGTTGCCTCTCCTCTTCTGAAGAAGAGTCCTGGGTGGCTCTGGCCAGTTAACCTGTCTTCTGTTCAAACGGGCATCAGCGTGGAGTTAGGAAACAAGTTCTCAGAGGAAAGGATGCCTGGAAGAGCCGCACCCTCCAGAGGAGACTGAGACTTCAGGGACTCAGCATGATTTCACTGTAGGCTGCTTCCATGCTGGACCTGTAACCTCCACACACCAACTCCCGAACGCCAGCGTCCTACGACAGCGCTGCTCTTCCTTCCTCAAGAACCTGATCAATAAACTCATGACAGTAGCTGCTGAGCAATGTTTCAACCCATCAGTGACGTTGATGTTTCTTCATGAAACTGCTGAAGAATACTGGGGCTTTTCCCTTTAAGAAGACTTTCAGCAAGCAGTGGATGTTATAGGTAATTTCTGCTTCCAGTATCACGAAAGTTCCCTAGCTCTGCAGTCTATATTCCTATGAGATCTGAGAGGGCCAATGCTACTCAGAGTTCAAGGACACTTTCCTTTTCATGTCGAGATCACAAGAGTTTTAGAAATAGAAAGACTGCTGGGGGAAAATCCAGAAACAGCAATGCTCCAATTTCAGGAGGTGAGAACCAAGGGCTAACTGTAGCAGGGAGGCAGACTGCCCGAGACTGGTGTCTGAGACTGATGCTTTCCCCTGTAGAGAGCTTGCTCTGTAGAGAGAGCTTTGGGATCGAGCCAGGGTGACAATACAGCAGGGTCAACATAGCAGCTTCATCCTAGTGCAGCCGAAGACACACCAGTTTCATAAGTGAGCTAGAGATTTTGCCTGTTCTTTACTTGGCATTCAATACTATCTATGTCTGTCTGTCTGTACGTACTGTACGTATGTATGTATGTATTTGGGTTTTTTTTTTTAAAGATTTATTTATTTATTATATATGAATATACTGTAGCTGTCTTCAGACACACCAGAAGAGGGCATCAGATCTCATTACAGATGGTTGTGAGCCACCATGTGGTTGCTGGGATTTGAACTCAGGACCTCTGGAAGTGCAGTCAGTGCTCTTAACCACTGAGCCATCTCTCCAGCCCTGTATTTGGGTTTTTTAAGATAGGGTTTTTATGTGTAGCCCTGGCTATCCTGGAACTAGCTTTGTAGACCAGGCTGGCCTGAAACTCAGAGGTCCACCTGCCTCTGCCTTTCAAGTGCTGGGGCCACCTCTATCCAGTATGGTTGTGGGCTTTTTGCTGCTGTTGTTGCTTAATTTTTAATTTCAATTTCATGTGGACTGGTGTATTGTCTGCATGTATGTGTGTGAGAGGGTGTCAGATCCTCTGGAACTTGAGCTATAGACAGTTGTGAGTTGCCGTGTAGGTACTGGGAATTGAACCTGGGTACTCTGGAAGAAAGCCAGTCCTCTTAACTGCTGGACTATCTCTCTAGCCCAGTGCAATAATTAAGAAGAAATAATGGTAATCAAAACACAGAATTTATGTTGGGCTTGGTGATTCATAATTTGTATTTTCATCCCATTGACCAAGAGGAGGAGGCTGAGGGGGAGGACGGAGAGCTGGAGATGAGCTCACCAGGCACTCAGGAGGCCAAGGGGGAGGACGGAGAGCCGGAGATGAGCTCAGTCTATGCGGTAAGACTCTATCCTAGCACAAGTGAGAAAGAAAACTAATAAAGGAAAACATGGAAGAGAAATACAATGATTGCCTCACCTCCATGCCCCTAAAGTCAAATACCTTTAAGAAGCAACCTTGGGGAAAGACACGAAGATTTCTTACCGATAAAGGGAGAGAACCTGTGTGAGTCAGAATACAGAAGCCATCCTGTGGGAATGTAGTCCTTCTCAGTGGCTCCCCCATGGCGTGGACTAGCCCACCTCACTGACAATGTAGCAAACTCTCAGCTGTGCTGCTCACATGCCTGCCGATGTCTCGAAACAATGAAATAGAAACGTAAAAGCCGGCTGCAGCCAGGAGAACCCAATCACCTCTAGACTCTGTTCCAGAGGAGGCGTTCATCAGTTGTGACAGGACTTGGAGTAACTGGTGACTCTGGAGGAAGGCTTGTTTTATGCTAAGGACTTGGATAATTTTTCTTGTTGTCATTTTTCCTGTATGGGGTCGCCCCTGCTTCATCTACTTGTATAAACCCTGTCCTTCCCTGACCCTTACGACTCTACTAATGACTCCAAACACAATCAGCTTTCCAGACTTTTCTGAGCTCTTACAACAGGTAAGGCCTATTACTGGGTGTGCCTGAACTGTAGCCTACAGGCAGGTTACTAGCGACCTGGGGTAGTTAGGAATGCAACCCAACGCAAAACTGTCAGCTTACTGAGAACAGGAGGTATTTTTGTATGTTTTTCCTAACTTGCTTGTGTGGTTCCTGAGCATAAATTCTGTAGATAACAATGTGTCACAACTGCCTCTAGAGGCATTGCAGGTGTGGCTGCTATGTCACTGTGCGTCAGCAGGTGGCAGAGAGGAGAGAGGGTATGTCTACACTTAGTGTTCTGACCTGCCAACATCTGAATGATTATCAGCCTAACACTACCAGAAAAAACAAAAAACAAAACCAAAACAATGTTGTGTCAATGTCAAGATGTTGGACATGCCTCGATGATATAACAGAAGAGTATATTCTGCACTGTGTTAGGCTTTATTTGTTCATGGTGCCTGTATCTCTCATTATACGTTGCTTAAAAAATCCTTTTATGTTTGTGTGGTGTGTGTGCACGTTTATATGTGTGTGTGCATGCGCACGTGCACGCGTGTATGAGGGGTGGGGTCAGAGGATAACCTTGGGTGGTGGTCCTGTCTTGTTTTCCACAGGGTCTCTTGTTCTCTGCTGCATATGCCAGGCTAGCTGGCCCTACAGCTCCTGGGGGTTCTCTTGACTCACTACCCGGATTCGACCTTCCGTCCCCCTTAAGAGTGTTGGGGTTGTATCGGCATGCTATGCTGGCTGTATGTGGGCTCCAGGGACCTGAGCTGTCTGTGTGCTTTCGTAGCAAGCACTTTATCTAAGCCATCTCCCAGCCGAGTATCATGTACTTCTTGAAGGAAAACTGTGATTTCTATTATTTGGTCGGTTACACACAGTGCTGGGTCACATAGTACGTGCTTATTAAATAATTTTGGTTGCTGGGCGGTGGTGGCGCACGCCTTTAATCCCAGCACTTGGGAGGCAGAGGCAGGCAGATTTCTGAGTTCGAGGCCAGCCTGGTCTACAGAGTGAGTTCCAGGATAGCCAGGGCTACACAGAGAAACCCTGTCTCGAAAAACCAAAATAAATAAATAAAAAAATAAAAAAATAAAATAAAAATAAATAAGTTTGGTTGAATGAGTCTCTGGGTCATTTACACAATTTACCTTCCAATGTGTCATCGAACGGGCACCTAAGACACACTTCGCAGTAGACACTGTAGTAGGCCTGAGGGCAGATGATACAGCTTCTTTAGAACTGGTATTTATTCCTAAGGGTCAGGGGAGAATGTTGAAGTAGCCACTAAAGCTTCGAGGAGATGCCTAGGAGTGAGCTCTGCTGGCCAGGAAGGGCACTTTCACTGGGTCACCTCACGTACGGCAAAGATCAGAAGAAACAATACAAATAGCCAAGTACAGCGACAAGCTCCCAGGAGCTCGTGGGCGGAATGGCAGCTCTATGCAAGCCAAAACAATTTATACTGAGATCTGAAAGCAGGCTGCAGTGATAAATTAGGCAAGACTGGCAGGTACATTTATTCATTAAAGTGAGAACCAAAAGAATCCATCAGCAAAGTTCTGTGCTTTCTGTCACTTACTATTAGAAAACTACCATGTCATCAAGTTTTATAGAATCCATGAGAGGAGAGATGCTAAATCATTAGCATAGCACTGTCCTCCATTAGGGAAGTAAGAATGGTTTGATCAAAACACAGAAAGACCCTGACCTCTAAGTTAGAAATCTGAGTCTCAGGCTCTAGATTCCTGGGAGTCCTTTCCTATAGCCTTTGACACTGGTACCCCCTGGAGAACTTTTATGCAGCCCCGTATTCTCTTTTGGCTGCCTGGCTATCCCTTCTTTAGGCTATCCCTTCTTGCATCCACTTCAAATTGCTTGTCTGTTATAGAAGTGAATCCAATATAACATGGTAGCAAGAAAATAGTCTTGGCAGTCAGAGGGACTCTATTTTTTTCCCTCCCTTGGAAAAATACCAACTGTGTACCTCTAGGCAAGCTGTTTAACCCTTTCAAGCCTTGGTTACTTCATTTATAATGTGGGTAAAATGACAGTATCTTTCTCTTGGGATTACTGCCAAAGTTAAGTTAGATAATACATGTAAAACTATCTCCATTGAACTTTTCGCAGATTTCAATTTACTTTAACTTACTTAATTAACTTTTTGAGATTGGATCTCACTAGATAGCCCAGGATTGTCTGAATCCTTTTGTTTTATATTTCTGGGAACTGAACCCAGGGCCTTATGGCTCATGAGGCAAGCACTTTATCACTGACTGTGTTTACAGCCCCCTTGAGATAGTCTTTTACATTTTATGAATTATTGTTTTGAGGTGTGCGTGTTTGTCGCGCGCACTTGTGCACACGCGCATGTGCGTCCAGGAGAAGGCACTTGATTCCCTGGAGCTGGAGTTATAGGTGGCTGTAAGTCACCTGATACAGGTGCTGGAACCTGAACTTGGGTCTCTGCAGGACACACTTAACTGCTGAGCTGCTGTCAGGACATAGTCCAAGAATGGACCTGAATGAGAATCCTGAGTACTGTTTAGAAAACTCCAAGAAAACAACAGTCTTGTGACCCTGGTTTCCTTTAAACACATAACTGCTTTTGGCATGTGCTTTCATGCTCCTCCTAAGTGTAGTCATGTGCCTCTGTGGAAAACCACAGGAGGCTTGTCCTTGTGACTGCACTTTATTCACAGGATTCTTAACACTCAGAATAAAAGTTGTCTGATGCTCTGAATAAAGTTGGCTATTGCACGAGTCCTTAGCTCACCTCAGTTTTAGGCCCTACTTTCCCAGGTTCATGCTGCCAACGACAGTGGTAACACGCCACATCTTCAGCACTGTCACCACTGTCACCACCATCAAACTATGTTGGAAATGTGAGTGCTTCCACAGCCCAGCAGGGGGCATTAGATCCCTCAGAGCTGTTGATCCCGGTGGTTGTGAGCTGCCTGACTTGGGAGCTGGGAAGTTAAAGCTCTTAACTGTGGGGCCATTGGCCAGCCCTTCGTTCTAGTATCTCGGAAATCAGTAGACTGCCTAAGATCGTTACTGACCAGAGAGCAACTCTACTGTTGCTGTCTCTTCCTGCAGAAACAAATCAAAATTTGCAGAATGGGTGCCAATACCTTATGAGAAAATTCCAAAAAACTGTGGAACTTTCTTTTTAAAGTGTTGTATCATCAATGCTGTGATAGCTTAAAGGACAACAGATGTGGGAAGGCAGATGGTCCAATTCAGAACAAAACAGCCAGAGGTGCCGGCTCTCCAATGGAGGGGAAGTTCAGACCCATTTATTAGCTCGTTTATTTACATTTCCCTTTTGTGTCTGCATAAGAACGCCATGTATCAGAAGTCTAAGCCTAGAAGAGCTTGATCTTTACTGACACGGTGAAAGTACTTGTGTCATGGCAAGCTCAACAGCATTTTCTTTTCTTTCTCTGTGATAAGATGACAGTGCCTCCTTCCGATGTCTGTGCTTTGTGTTTTTGCTGACGCGTGGTAGTAACCAGCCTGGCACACACAAAAAGCTCAGTCAACATTAGCTGCCATGCATACCAATATTAGCAAGGGGTCTGCGATCAGAATTGCTTCTGTTACCTTCAGCTAAATTTAAAAACAAGATCTTACGTGCACACAGAGGTCAGACGAGGGCACCTGATCCCCCCCTGGAGCTAGAGTTACAGGTGGTGTGAGCCACCTGATGTGGGTGCTGTGAACTGAACTCAGGTAGGTCCTTTAGAGCAGCATGCGTTCTTAACTACTGAGCCATTCCTCCAGGCTCCCTTCATCGACAATTAGAGAGAAATATGCCACCTTCTATGACACATAACGGAAAAGGGACTCAAGAGCCCCACCCTTGGCTGAGGAGCTTCTGACAGAGGACGGGTACTTGTCATCAGCAGTCACTGGTAAGTTGCCCATGCTTCAGTAAACTACCCATACACATGCCCACATGGGCTACCCTAGTCAAGCTCAGTGGGTAGCCAAGAAATAGAAGGCAGAAACATAAGAGGGGTGTGCTGGAAGGAAGGGGTCCAGAGGGGCTAGGAGGAGGAAAAGGCTGTGGGTGACTATGATGTAAACACCTTACATGCATGTGTGCAATTACCAAAGGGTAAATTTAAAAAGGCAACATAGAAAAGCTGATTGAGAAAGGAAAATAACGGTTCCCTCTTTCCCATGCCCACAGGGATTCCTTGCATGTAGAAGACAGCATGAACTATGCTTGGGATTAAAGGCTGAATTGTAAACTCATTTTGTAAAAACTAGGCTTTGGTGTGGAAACTGAGGCTGTAAGGATAAACTGTAAGCCCTGCATTTACTCCAAGTGGGGCCCGAATTAATGGGTTGCAGGCAATGATGATACATTCTCCCTATCTGCTCACTCATTCGTGCTTCATGGTACTCTTTGACAGAGGCAGCGCAGCTAGGGCCTTCACTTACAGAGGCCCCGCTTCTGCACACTTACTGACACACACGGCTTACACAATCTTGGGGTATTCTGAATGATTTTACCTGATGTACATCACAGGCTTGATGACAGCCACGACAAAAACGGCGACGATTTACCAAGACATAACAAAGCTGTGAGATGATACAAGTCTCTGTGCTCCTAACAGATAAAGGGGAAAGGAGTGTGGGACCTCTTCTTGGGGAATCAAGGCTGCTTGTCTGCACCAGGAGGCGGCGACCTTATGGAAAACAGCTCAGCTGAAGCTTTCTACAGGGACAATTTCACAGAACCAAGACTTGAACAAGATCAATTGAGGAGACAGAGAAACTGTGGTATTCAAGGCATCTGGAATGATAGCCCCTTAGGTTCCACAAAAGGACAGCTGGGAGAGGCCGAGGTCTGCTACACTAGAACTGTTGACCGGTTCAGGCAGTCTGATTTTATACATAAGACAGGCGCTAAATATTAATTCGTGTAGTCTGACATTTCTTCCTACCCTAAAACAGTACCTTACTTGGAAAACACTAGTGAAATTTGTAACATAATTTGTTCTTTGGGTTTCAGAGCACAAATCTCTTGTTGATGTCATTTTTTGGAATGGATGATGTCCCTCCCCCATTTTTACAGACCCATTTAGTTTGAATTATGTGTATGTGTCCATGTGTGGGTGTGTACATGTGAGTGCAGTGCCCACGAAGGCCAAAGGAGACGTATCTCCTTGTAGCTGGAGTTACAGGTAGCTCAAGCTGCCCAAGGAAGGTGGTGGGCATTGAACTTGGGTATTCTGAGACAACAGCAACAAGCAAGCAATCTTACCCATGAGCCATTGCTCCAACTCCCCCAGCTCCCACCTGATCCCTTCTTTAATT